GTTAAGAAGGGTGAGATAGAAGCAGTTGTGATTGCCACTGGTGTGCACACCTTTTTTGGTAAAGCTGCTCATCTAGTGGACAGCACCAACCAAGTTGGGCACTTTCAGAAAGTTCTTACAGCAATTGGTAATTTCTGCATTTGCTCAATTGCTGTTGGAATAGTAATTGAGCTCATAGTCATGTACCCAATACAACACCGCAAGTACAGAGATGGGATTGACAATCTATTGGTTCTGTTGATCGGAGGGATTCCAATTGCCATGCCAACTGTTTTGTCTGTTACTATGGCTATTGGTTCTCACAGGCTTTCCCAGCAAGGTGCTATTACAAAACGAATGACAGCTATTGAGGAAATGGCAGGGATGGACGTCCTCTGCAGTGACAAAACTGGGACTCTGACCTTAAATAAGCTGTCTGTTGATCGAAACTTGATTGAGGTTTTTGCTAAGGGTGTTGAGAAGGATTATATTATGCTTCTTGCAGCAAGGGCTTCTAGGACTGAGAATCAGGATGCCATAGATGCTGCAATAGTTGGGATGCTTGCTGACCCAAAGGAGGTAAATATGCCAAAACGATCTCTCTTTCGGACAAGAAACATAAAGGTAAAAAAATGTAGTGAATTTGGGATGAAGATATGATTTTTCTACTTTGAATTGGCCAGGCACGAGCGGGTATCAGGGAGGTCCATTTTCTCCCATTCAATCCCGTAGACAAGAGGACCGCTCTCACCTACATTGATTCTGATGGAAATTGGCATCGAGCTAGCAAAGGTGCTCCTGAGCAGGTACATATGTGTTTTGTTGGCACCATCTGTGATTATGTTTACGAAGATAACTGATAGATGTTTTTCTTCTGCTTAGATATTGAACCTCTGCAACTGCAAAGAGGATGTCAGGAAAAGGGTTCATTCAGTAATTGAAAAGTTTGCTGAGCGTGGACTCCGTTCTTTAGGTGTTGCTAGACAGGTTCGCAAAACTGATATCAACATTTCTGATATCAACATTTCTTATTTGAATACCCTTCCTTTATATCTGCTTGTATGGTCTGTCTATGACAGGAAATACCTGAGAAAACAAAAGATAGTCCTGGTGCACCATGGCAATTTGTTGGTCTGCTACCACTATTTGATCCTCCCAGGCACGATAGTGCTGAAACCATCACAAGAGCTCTTAACCTTGGTGTGAATGTTAAGATGATTACCGGTACGATTTGAGGTCTTACCTTCTTGCAGTATATATTTCATACTACAAATGAAATCATGTAGCTTAGAAATTTTTTGTGGGTTTCTCATTCTCCAGGGGATCAGCTTGCCATAGCCAAGGAAACTGGCCGAAGGCTTGGGATGGGAACAAACATGTATCCGTCTTCTTCATTGCTTGGCCAAAGCAAGGATGCTTCCGTTTCAGCTCTTCCAGTTGATGAGTTGATTGAGAAGGCTGATGGATTTGCTGGAGTGTTTCCTGGTATGTCCTAGATAATATTAATGTTGGTAGCATCATCCATTGCTTTTTTCTTTCAACTATTTCAGTCATCCTTTACCTGCTCATGGCTTCTTTGCGAGTTGATGGGATCGGACTGCTACTTTTATTAACAATACAATTACGTTTCAAATTGCTTTACACTTCTTAACATTTTAATCCGTTTTTCTCTTTCTTTGACACGGCAGAACACAAATATGAAATCGTTAAGAGGCTGCAAGAGAGGAAGCATATATGTGGAATGACAGGTGATGGTGTCAACGATGCCCCTGCATTGAAGAAAGCAGATATTGGAATTGCTGTTGCCGATGCTACAGATGCTGCTAGAGGTGCTTCTGACATTGTCCTCACTGAACCTGGTCTGAGTGTCATTATCAGTGCAGTACTTACCAGCAGGGCAATTTTCCAAAGGATGAAGAACTATACTGTTAGTTTCCTTGCATATATATTTTAATTGCTTGACTTTATTTTAATATCTTAGAAATCTAAACTCAGAAATGTTGATTGTTGATTATGGCAGATCTATGCGGTGTCAATCACCATTCGTATTGTGGTAAGTGCCGCAAGAAGGTTAACTCATAAAAAACATATCGACATTTTGTACATACTAATATACACAGTTCATACAATTTATGTGATCTATTCTTCATTTTGGCAGTTTGGTTTCATGTTTATTGCGTTGATCTGGAAGTTTGATTTTGCACCCTTCATGGTGTTGATTATTGCCATACTAAATGATGGTAAGATAATAATATTTGGTTACCTTCATGTTGTTTACTTTGACTATTCTGTGAATATGTTTAATTTAATTTCCTTAAACCCTATACCTTTAGGTACCATTATGACAATATCCAAAGATCGAGTGAAACCATCTCCGATGCCCGACAGCTGGAAGCTGAAGGAGATATTTGCTACCGGTGTTGTGCTAGGAAGTTACATGGCACTAATGACAGTAGTATTTTTCTGGCTCATGAAGGATACCGACTTCTTTTCGGTAATAATTTGTATTTTGTGTTTCCCTCAATATTTTCACCTACTAGCGAAAATTGTATAGCTATGAACACAACTTCAACCTTTGCAGAACAATTTTGGTGTGAGGTCTCTGAGAAAAAGTCCTGAAGAAATGATGGCAGCGCTATACCTACAAGTCAGTATTATAAGCCAGGCCCTAATTTTTGTCACTAGGTCCCGCAGCTGGTCCTATGTTGAAAGACCTGGTCTCCTCCTACTGGGTGCTTTTATGATTGCTCAGCTGGTAATATTGAACCTCTTATTCTCCTATCAGCAACCTAGTCTAAAATGTTGTTTGTGTTAGTGTCTCTTCTGAATTTTTGATTGAAACAGTGTCATTTTGTGTTGTCAACAACTCGGTCTCGATAATCACGCACTTTTCCCTCACTCTCTCTCCACAACCACTATTTAAAAAAATGTAAACTACATCTCTAAACTAAGATTTGGGAGCACAAGCGTTGAAATGAAATCAAGTCAACACTTCTGTTGCCTTAGGAAGCAATAGTTAATTGACATAATACTCCTGTAGGCCAGGACGTGTATAAATTAGAATCTAGCATGCTGCTCTCTCAGCTAGCAACAAAATGATTGATTAATTAAAAGCTTTTGCCTTTCTTCTGTTGTAACAATAATTTGTTTCATAATTGATAGGTGGCAACTTTTCTAGCAGTATATGCTAATTGGAGCTTCGCGAGAATTAAGGGAATGGGATGGGGTTGGGCTGGTGTAATCTGGTTGTATACTTTAGTGACATATGTCCCTCTTGATTTACTCAAATTCGCAATCCGCTATGTTCTGAGTGGGAAGGCTTGGGATAATCTTTTGGAGAACAAGGTAATTTCTTCTTCTTCTTCTTTATTGTTTACTGTATCGTTGATCTTTAATCCAGAGAGTTCATTATTCAAAACCCGTTTATGATTTCTAATGACAGACTGCCTTCACTACAAAGAAAGATTATGGAAAAGAAGAGAGAGAAGCACAGTGGGCAACTGCGCAGAGGACTCTTCATGGTCTTCAGCCACCGGAAACAACCAACCTTTTCAATGACAAGAATAGCTATAGGGAGCTTTCAGAGATTGCTGAGCAAGCCAAGAGACGTGCTGAGGTTGCAAGGTAAGCCATTGACTTCACTTGTATTGATTGTATGGCAACAAGTTTGTATCTGAAAGGATTCATGAAGTGGTAATTATAATATTAAGGGATGATTGTATAAATTACATTTGTAATAGTGTCTTAGAGATTTTTTAAATTGGTTCACAGGCTTAGGGAGCTTCATACTCTAAAGGGACATGTTGAGTCAGTTGTGAAGCTGAAGGGACTTGACATTGATACAATCCAGCAGCATTACACGGTTTAAGGAGCTTCGACAACCTTCAACAGAAAATCGCTTCAGTGCTTGTCTGGGAACAAAAACAACAAATATAATGACGAAGACCTAAGTTAATCTGTCTTTACCTTTTACATTAGGATGAAGGTCATTTTGTGAAAATTTAAATGGTTATTCCCCTATCCCATCTATGCCAGTAGCTGGAGGAGATGCTATTCTCTTTAGGTACCAAATAACATGCTTGATAGGGTTTACTTGCGTCTTATGTTTGGGAATTCAACGTTATTAAGGTCACTTTAAAAAGCTCTCTCTCTCTCTCTCTCTCGATACATGTAGGTTTTTGGGATAAACTTGCCCTCAATATTTAAATTTTGTTGTTGCGTTGAGTGAGAGATTCCAAAGGAATAAAGTGATAATCATTTCACAATTTTGATGTCTATCCATTTTAAAGGTTTTTGGAATCGCAAGATTCCCACTGCAAAGATGGTAATCTACAGACTACAGCTAAACAACGATGCATTCAGGATACGTTGCTTGCTCATTTTTTTTTTTTGCTATTGATAGAGTTATTAAAGAGGGATTAAATTTTCATTACAAGGAGCCATCGAATCCCAGTGCACTTCACCCTCAAGCATAGCACTCGATAGCATTTACTTAAAAACGAAATATTATACATTCTAATTTCAAATTTAAATGATTATGGATGTTCATGCATCCATCTAGAGAAGTTCAATGAACCTATTTTGTGTTCCGGGTACTTTATAATCAACATCTTGCTGTAAAAACTACAGAGAACAAAATTGTTTTTCTTAAAATTTAAGCTAATCCAAACCTGCTAAAACTAGACTCATTTCTCTTCTTCGGCTTACCATCTTTTTCAAAAGTAATATAAAGCCGAATAGACAAAACCACCATGGATTAGGCCAAAATTGACAATTATTTCATATAGTAGTTAGCCGAATACCAACCCCCACCAATAAAATGTTCTCTCGATACAAACAGAGACTTACACTATCCGATTCGCGGGCAACAGTGTACTTAGGAAAATATAAGTCGACACTTCAATTTCAAAATGTGTATTTTCACGGGGAACGATGTAACATGAATCATTAAGAGATCTATTAGCCACTTTTTGCTAATTATGTAATACGATAGAACTTATTATATGAAATCAAATTGCATGTATATTGAACTACGAAAGAAAGATGAATGATAATTGTTTGAATAGACGTCAATAAAGACCTGTGGTACTATTGATACAAGACACCAGAGTAGGTACTATTGAAGGAGTAACGAGGGGGCAAAACACAAATAGTTTATGACAATAGTACAGAAAAATGGACTCAACCTATGACCAATTTCGCTAGGTACTAACTTCTGCAGTTATTTTTTCTAATATTTAACATCTCTACCAATAATTTTTACAGATGAATCTAGACTGCTGGAAAGACGAAGCTGCTCTAGATGGGGGCTCTTTGATGATGCATCTGCTGAAGCGCTTGTGGTAGATTTAATACAATCTCTGCGTATGCTGGTATGGGAAGCAAAATACAAATTTAGTTGAGAGAGAGAGAGAGAGAGAGAGAGAGAGAGAACCTTCAGTCCAGCAATAAAGAAACACATATCACAATTAAAGAACACGTAAGCAGGCTTGCAAAATAACCTTGGAGAAACTATAGGAAAAGAAAAAGGAAAAAAAAATTCGTGCTAATTTCCTAATCCAAATTCATTAAACTATAATAGCTGTCACCTAACTGCGCACATCCCATTAGGACGTGATTATAGACCATGTTGAGGATTAAAAAAACCCCAAAAATAAGACTTCGTGGTCTAAGAAATGAACCAAAGTAATATAGTGTTCACCTTCTGGTAGACTCATAGTTCGTAAGGCATCTTCTGCATAGGTTAGGCGAACTGGAGCGGGATGACTTCCTGAGATTCCATCTTCCTTCCTGTTAAAAGTTGCTGTAGTATTTTTCTTTAACATTGGCCAGGCTAGCACTGTGATTCGAGATGGAAGCACTGAAATGAGATCAGCATATCGAAGGCTGACTGTCACCTTGCTGGGGAAAAAAAAAAAAGGACTTCTTGAATACAGAGTATCTTTTCAGCTTTCATTTTATTTATCTCCTTATCTATTTTATTTCCCCTCGGAGGAAGAAGGGTAAGAGATAAGAAATGTTAACTATAAATTTCTGATACATAAAGAAAGAAATGTTAATAACAAAATAAAATATAAACAAGTGAACTATTTATAATTAAGATACAAACAAATCAAACATTGTATATTTCATTTTGAATAAGCCATTTTCTGAATAACCTGACAGAATTCAAAGATGAAGACCAATGATTGCTGAGGTACGTATTTGTAATTCCAACTTTAATGTCAGGGTAAGCCAAAATGTAGTAACTTAAGTGTAAAATAACTAATAACACCTGCTTCCTTTTAGCACTGAAAGCTGCAGTACACTGACCTCTCACCCTAATGACCTTTTAGCATCATATCACACATAAGAATGTACAAAAAAAGAAATGGATAGAGAAAAGCCCACATCACTACGGCAGTATAACTTTAGCTGCAGCACCAACTTCACCTTACAAACATATTATTCAATTATTACAGATGATCTCTTTTTAATCATTTTCTCCTTTATATCCCTTTAATTCTTTCTTTACCTCTTTTTTTAATTTTTAATTTTTATTTTGTTTTATTTTTTTCTTCTCTTTCATTTCTCTTTTTTCTCTCAATCTTTCTTCTTTTATTTTTTTATTTTTTCTTCTTTATTTTTATCTCTCTATTTTTTTATTTTAACTTTCTTATTCTTTTTATTTTTTGCTCTTATGTATCTTCAAAATTTATTTTTATCCTTTTTTTCTTAATCTTTTCGTAGTTTTCATTTGGGTTCATCTGCCACCAACCTCAACTAGTTTGGGATAAAAGTGTTGTTGATGTTGATTCAAGCAAAATTTGAATACCAAAATTGAAGGAAAATGGCAGGGAAACATCATATCACTATAAGAGACTGACCAATCAAAATCATCCAATACAAATTCGACCATGTGGTAAGGAAGGCTATGATACAGCTCTCCAATTTGGTTTCCATAAAGTTCCTTTATAAGTCTGACCTGCATGATATGTACAAGAGACAAAAAGTTAAATGGTTGTTTATAGCATAATATTATAGACATACTAATAAGCATATTTGAACCCGTAACCTCTAGGTCGCAAAAAGCAGCTTTATCACTACTCTAGGCTCCCCCTCCTTGCCTTTTTTTTTTTTTTTTAATGGTTCTTTAACATCAAAAAAATTTCTCGTGAATTTCCAAATACTCAAGATATATTTATATTTAGTAGGTAAACTAGCTATAAGCCTACAACTTCCATGTTTTGCACATACTTAATTATGGTGGATATTCAATCTAAATAACAGGGACAGATAACAAACTCAATAAAAAAAATAAAAAAATATTTTAATTAAAATAAAGAGGGACACATGACAATTCCTTACCTTACGCAAACATAACTTTTAACACATAGGTTATAAGTGCAGACCTTATTCAATTCCATTCCACCCCACTTATGCCAAGGGCCAAAGGGCACGGGAATTGTTTGCATTTACAACTTCATGTAGTGGAACAGTTTACATGGTTTAAAGTTTAAACACCATACAAGCATTTCCTGGTGCCATTTTGAATAAACTTATTTGTAGATTAAAAAAAAATGTATTTCCATGCACAACAAAAAGTCATTCAAGGTTTGCCGAAATAAAAAAATATAGTAAAATGAATATTTAGCTTCAGGTCATATTCTATTTAAATATTCTTCAACGAAACAAAGGAAAGGGTGTAAAGATAATGACCCTCCAAGATGATCATACAATCTAATATTAGACATACTGCAGAAAATTAAGTGACACACCAAGTTTGATATATTTCACAATCAATGTTCTAAAATGGCATTGGCAGATGAACTGCAACCAGGAATAAACATTTTGACAATTTTCGAGGAAACAGAAAAATTCCAGATGCGCAGTACACCTCTGATTGATGCAGGAGATAGGGTTCTGAGAATCTAAACTAACAACGACATGGCTTTTAGAAACAACCAAGAAAAAACAAATTACAATGATAAAGAATATGAATATATTTTAATAAAAATCCAGCTTTTGGTGTAGGTGTAAACCAAATGTTAATATATTGTTTTGTGGACATATGGATACAGGAAAACTAGTCAGAAAGTACTCGCTTGGACATATTCCGACACTATTCTTTCAGTCACACATTTAGATTACTAATTCTTCCATCATTATTGTAAAAGCGTAAACTTTTGCTCCATATGTAACAGCAAATTTATGCAGATTGTGAAGGCAATATATTTCCAAAAAATAAACACAAAAATTTCACTTAATGATTACATACATGGGCAGTCTACCTGTTCCCGTCTATCCACATATGCCTGTAATAGATCTCCAACATGATCTATGAATTTCTGAAAGCAAACCAGTAGAAACAATGCTTAGAAGAAAATTTGAAATAAACATGGGTCAAAGCCAATACATATAAATGACTTTACCATTGCATTGGATGAAAGGAGATCATTTTCTGTTTCACGAATTGGCAGGAAAAATGGAACTGTGTGTTCCAGGACAGTCATCTTTTCAAGAAATGACTTACTCTCCAGCACACAATGGTAATACTCACAAGGTTCACCTGGCAATAAATGAACAGACATTATCATCAACTAATGGCAAAGGCTAAGACACAAGGGAAAGGGAAAGAGCAAGTAGAAAAAGATCCAGCCTCCATCTTGTCATTCATAATGTCATCTCATGATAACATGGTAGTATATGTAAATAAGTTAGTCAAGAACAATTTTGTTCCAAATTACCAGCAAAAGATGTCTCATATTGTATGCCAATTCTTGCCCCTTCCAAACAGCAAATTACCTGCTTCCACATACACAACCAATTTTAAAATTACTATTTTGTGGTGAAGTTAATAAACAAAATAACAACTAAGCTAAGCACAGCAGTGATAATGCTTTTACCATAAACTCCTACACATTCCAGCAATTATTTTTTTCCTTTGGGAAAGGGGAGATTAAAAAAATTATTTGATCAAAAAATGGAAGTATAAGCGGTGGGAAGATAAGCAGGCAAGTCAAGATATCTACAACTAGAAACAGGAGGGGAAAAAAAAGGAATTTAGCAAGGCAGCCAATCATTCAGCACATAATAAATGGTAACTCCCTTGAAACAGCCATGAACATAATACCAAAAAGAATTGTTAGATATAATCTAAGTCATGTACTTTCACACAACAGTTTAGACCTTTCGGAGTGAGAGTTTATGAAACAGTATCAAAGCCTTTGTAACCATATGGTTTAGACTTTGATCCATGTTGCTTCCATTCTTCTAAATTAAAGTTAAAACAGTTCAAACTCATAGGGCTCTTGCATGCGGAAATGTATTAAATATAAAATCATTCAAGTGCTATCACCCATATGGTTCATGAGGATAAGCCATCAATAAAATCCAATCCCATAACAAGTTAAAAGAGACACCCATAAAGGTGTAAGTATTCTGCTCCATCCAAATGCACCATATAATTGTGGAAATAGGAACTCATAATTTCTGAACAAACCAGCACTTCCCTACCCTTACATACCAAGTTTTCATCAGCAAATAGAACAGAGAAATTGGTACTTACTATTCATAATTTCTGAACAATAGTTAATATCTCTATGATAAGACCCCTTTGAAGGTTTATTATAGGAAATGTCATAGAGAATCACACCAGAGTACTGACTCAGCTGAGGTAAGAGGGAATATTGTTGTGCGTGGGAATTCTGTTAGTGGAGATTCTGTTATAGGAAGGTGGCTGACGTGGCAGAGGGCACAAGCTGATGGTTATATAGGCATAGAATGCATGAATAGGGGGAGGCGGGGATTTGGGAGTTCTTGGCAGAGGGCACAAGCTGCTGGTTATATAGGCATAGTACCTGATAAATTCCCAATCCCCATTATTGAGGAACTTTTGGATGAACTGGGAGGATCTACTCTTTATTCAAAGCTGGATCTCAAGTCTGGATATCACCAGATCAGAATGCGCGAGGAAGACATTCCCAAAACTGCATTTAGGACCCATGAGGGTCATTATGAGTACTTAGTGATGCCTTTTGGGCTCACCAATGCTCCATCTACCTTCCAATCTCTGATGAATGAGATCTTAAAGCCTTATTTGCGCAAATTTGCCTTAATGTTTTTTCACAACATCTTGGTCTAAGGCTGAGCATCTACAGCACCTTAGATTAGTATTGAATATTTTAAGACAACACCAGTTGGTGGCAAATAAAAAAAATGTAGCTTTGGGCAGAGTCAGATCGAATACCTTGGCCACATAATTTCTAGTGAAGGTGTGAAGGCAGACCCGAAGAAGATTGAAGCTATGTCTCAATGGCCAGTTCCCAAAAATTTGAAGGGGTTGAGAGGATTCTTGGGGCTAACAGGTTGTTATAGAAGTTTGTCCAATAGTATGGAAAAATAGCAAGGCCCTTAACTGATCTATTAAAGAAAGATGCTTTTCTCTGGGGTACTGAAGCCTAATGTGCCTTCGAACAGTTAAAGGCAGTCATGTGTTCTATCCCTATCCTTGCACTACCCGATTTTAATCAGCCTTTCACGGTGGTCACGGATGCCCTGGAAAAGGGGTGGGGGCTGTTCTTATGCAGGGGAGTCGCCCAATCAGTTTTATCAGTCAAGCTTTTTCTTCAAGAACCATGGAAAAATCCGTTTATGAAAAGGAGCTAATGGCAATTGTGTTGGCTATCTAGAAATGGAGACCTTATCTTTTGGGCCGACATTTTATCATTAAAACTGATAAAAAAGCCTGAAATTCCTTATGGATCAAAGGGTTTTAGGAGGAAACCAACAGAAGTGGGTCTCTAAGCTCCTAGGATATGACTGAGAAATTGAATATCAACCCGAGAAGGAGAATGTGGTTGTGGATGCATTGTCAAGGAACCTGCAATGTTTTTCCTTATCATGTGTAGATGCCACCAAGTATGAGGAGCTAGAACGAGAGTTACAAGGAGATGACATAATGAGGGGTATTATCCAAGATCTTTTAGCCAATTCACAGGCTCATTCTGGGTTCAGTCTACATGGAGGTAGGTTGTTTTACTTGGGCAGGTTGGTCTTAGTTAGACACTCTAAATTTATTCCCTTAGTGTTGCATGAATTTCATGACTCATTTGTGGGAGGACACTCTGGTTTCTTGAGAACACTCAAAAGGGTAACAAGTTTGGTGTATTGGAAAGGCATGCACATGAAAATTAAGGAGTATGTCACAGCCTGCTCTATTTGTCAACAGAATAAAATTTCGACCTTATCCCCGGGGGGCTTCTACAGCCTTTACCCATTCCTACAAGGGTATGGTCGGATGTATCTATGGATTTTATTGGTGGGTTACCCAATGTCCAAGTTGTGGACACAATTTTTGTTGTGGTGGATCGCTTTTCCATTATCTCAGTATGCCCACTTCATTGTTTTGAAGCATCCATATACTGCTAAAGAGGTTGCATTGATTTTTATCAAATAGGTTGTTAGGTTGCACAGATTCCCTTCTTCCATTGCGAGTGACAGAGATAGGGTGTTCCTTGGCTCATTTTGGTCTGAGTTATTTCGTTGTAGTGGCACTAAGCTGAAGTACAATACAACTTATCACCCCCAATCCAATGGGTAGACTGAGGTGGTTAATAGATGCTTGGAGGACTATTTGAGATGTTTTTGTTCCCCAAAACCCATAACCTGGCCCTCTTGGCTGCATTGGGCCGAGTTCTGGTACAATACCACTTTCAAAAGTGCCATTGGGACCGGTCCTTTTAAGGCACTATACGGTTGTGATCCAACCATCCTATTCAGATCTGGCTTTGCTATTTCCCCTTGTAGATGAGGTGATTACTATGCTGCAAGACAGAGATCTGATTTTACGGAAATTGCAGCAGCATCTTGTGATTGCACAAAATCGCATGAAAACACAATCTGATCATCATCGAAGAGATGTGGAATTTCAGGTAGGAGATATGGTCTACCTTAAACTTCAACCTTATAGGCTGCGTCCGTTGGCTAAAAAATTAAACGAAAAGCTTAGTCCCCATTTTTATGGGCCTTACGAGGTTGCTGCCCGCATTGGTGTTGTTGCTTGCAAGTTGAAGCTGCCAGAAGATTGTAAGGTTCATGATGTGTTTCACGTCTCACTTTTAAAGAAAGCAGTCTCACCCTCAGTTGTGGTACAACCATTGCCCCCCATGATAGCAGAAGATTGGGAGCTCTAAGTCCAACCAGAAGCTGTTTTACAATGGCACAAAAATTCAGTTGGCAGAACTGAGGGTGGCAGAGGTTTTGATTAAATGGATTCAATTACCGGCATTTGAAAATACTTGGGAGGATTCAGCCCAAATCTATTGCCAATTTCCTGATTTCCACCTTGAGGACAAGGTGATAGTCTTGGGGGGAGTATTGATGAGACCCCTTTGAAGGTTTATTATAAGAAGCTTCATAGAGAATCACACCAAAGTGCTGACTCAGCTGAGGTGAGAGGGAATATTGCTCTGAATGTTGTTGTGCGTAGGAATTCTGTTAGTGGAGATTCTATTATAAGAGAGAAGGTGGCTGACGTGGCAGAGGGCACAAGCTTATGGTTATATAGGCATAGAATGCATGAATAGGGGGAGGCGGGGATTTGGGAGTTCTTGGGAGAGATTAGTGCCTCTATAATTGCACTGAACCAGTCTCTTAGTTAGGATCTTGGGTGTTGGAGTCATTGTAATTTTTCCTTCGTTTTCGTAGCTGTTGAACTGTCTTTGTAATTGTCTTTCCACTTAGTGATATAAATATAGAAAAATCCAGTTCTCTGGGCCAATTTCTTCTTGTTTGTTGCGTTAATCTCTGATAAATTTTGCCAGTCTTATCACTTTATGTCAATTTCAAATTCAAAAAGTCGAAAACCTACAATCCAATCCATATAAGACAATTCCCCTATTAATTTCAAATGACTTTGTCTGCTTAGTCTATACATCTGTAAACTCTTGAACAAGCATTACTAATTTTATTATCACGAAGCATCTATTATATTAAGGATTGAAATCCAAATAAAATACTGCAAGTCCGCAAGTCCTCTTTTAAGCACTTCTCAGATTTTACGGTTCTCTTTCTTAACACTTAAGTTAAATATGCATACTAATGAATAACCATAAAAATCTCATTCATGACCCCAACATCTAATCTTCTACCTCATCTCATCTGCCTATTTTTCTTCTCACGCTACTGTCTAGAATCTTTGAAACATCTCTTGCTTAATTACAAGTATTATCTGCTATTACTGAAAATTTACTAGTCATTTGCCATGAAATATTGAAATGCGATTTAGGCATGTATCGTCTTATAATATTTACCTTGTTTCCAATTTTATAAGTAATTTTTTCCTGAGGACATGCTAATATGTCAGCATCCCCAGGCATTGCTTTTCTGTCTGCCTCCATATGCACCTGACAGAAACATATTTTAAAGAGTCAAGCATGAACATCAATGTCAACAGGGAATCTCAATAACAAATTGATAACTATGGAGACCATCAAGGTCAAATATCATAACATAAGTGAAAAAAGAAGGTAACAATCACATAGCCATACCCGCTCTCTTATTGTAGCAAGTAGACCATCATTCCACTCTTCCCCATCTAGACATATCTCTACAAAAAAAAAGTGGTCAAGAATTTTTCTGGATAAATATTAATAAGATACAATTATTCAACATCAACAACACCTTTATCCCAAATTAATTGGGGTCGGTGGTAGAAGAACCCAAATGAAAGATACAAAAAGATTGAAAAAAGAAACATAAAAGTAAAAAAAAAAAAAAATTGAATAGTAATAATATATATATATATATAAATATAAAAGTAAAAAAGAAAGGGAAAAGAAAAAGAGGGGGAAATGAAGGGGAAATGAAGGGGGAAATAAGATACAATTATTACAATTACAAAAATGAATGAACAAGGGAAGTGAACAAGGCCAGCATTTCAGATGTTAGAAAAGTATATTTTGTCAAGTGAACCAAGATTCACGTTATCCCTTGTTAAAATGGTTTAGATTTTACAATGTTGCTTCTCTCTTCAATTCCCTCTTGTTATTCCACGCAAAAATGGCCCTGATATTTATTCTAAATAATGAGCTAACATCAAAGAGAGCGAGCCTGGAGCAGTGGTAAAACTACTCCTTTGTGACTGAAATGTCACAGGTTCGAATACGGAAAACAACCTCTTTGCAAATATGCAAGGATAAGGCTGCGTAAAAAGATTACCTCGCTAGTCGGGGTTTAATGGGGAGTAGTTTTTAATGAGCTAACATCAACAGGAGTAAGATCTTTACTTTTATTTGACTTCATTTCAATTCTTGCCAATATATGACTTTTGAACAGTTGTATTTCAATCAATAGATGGCTAAACACTCAAAGATAAACTTATATTTAAGTAGGGCTAAGCCACACAAGGCATTAAAAATCTTATTTTGCTATTTATATTCAATGATTCATTGGTTACCCAATCTCTAACCAACCCAACCAGCGCTTAGCCACTTTGTCCCCTCCCTCCAGCACGCAGGCTTGTCATATATTTAAGATAGAGTAAACACTCATTTTAATACCCCCAATGATACAGGTGACATCACATTGGTCCTCCAAAGAAAGTTGACATCAAATTAGTTACCCAATCATAGAAAGTGACATAAAAATCAACCTTTTTGTGGATGGACCGTGAGAACACTGTTACTAAAGCTTCAAATTTAGGGACTAAATTGATGCCACTTTCTATGATTGAGTGATTCAATTGATGTCACTTTCTATGATAGAGGGACTATAATTTGACATCAAATTTATTTGGAAGACCAAACTGATATCACTTTCTATTATTGAGGGGCTAAATTGATGTCACCTGCATCCTTGCGGGGACTAAAAGTGGTGTTTAGTCTATAAGATATCCCACGATGCAGAAAACACCAATCCTTGGAACACAAAATGAGACTAAAAACAAGCTTGATCAAGTGAAGCATCAATGTAATAGTAATCAAGGTAACAACAAAAACCAGCACTGAATATCTGTCAAAGATGTCACGTCATGCTTGATAGAATCCCAAGAGACAACTGAGCTACATTTAGAGAAAACTTAAGTTACTACTAGTCCTATCTGAATAAGCTGCTGTCCCAGCGGAATTACAATTTACATTCATCCAAGATTGTTCATTTTGGAAACAGATTACCATTTCACAGTAAAATCCTGCAGATGATGAGCATCTGCTTCTAGTATATCACCTCTATCAATCTTACCAGCACAGCTAAAATCAAAGTGTTTAACTGTAGGGATATGAAAATAACTTGTGAATCCCCAAGACATTTAGATGCACAGATGGAAACTCACATAACATCCATGCGAACAAAATAAATTGAAAAGAGTCCAAAAAATGAAATAAAATAAATAAAGCGAAAAGTTGAATCCTATCAACTAGACTAAACTGCAACAAAGGAAATAAATGAGAAAAAACTTGAGTCAAGACAGAGCCAGATAATGTCAACTATTGATTTATTAAAGAATCTACCAACATCAAAGTCAAAGCTACCTTCTGTTTGAGAAGCTCGTGCAGCTTCAAACTCTTTCTGTAGACGCTCAAATATTATCTTGTCGGAATCCCTATGAACCCAGTAAATATTTAAAAAGATAATGTTACTACAGTCTACAGCATACAACCACTAATGGACATTCTCAAACAATAATCTTCAATTTAGGCATCCATATAATGCATAAATATATTCAGCCAGGAAAAGAGAATAAAATAGAGAATCTTTAAGTGACCAGATAAATCTTGATTGGGTATTGTAAATAACCATTTCAACCCAAAAGCTTGAGCTTGAAAGTGAAGGTCCATTAATTGTTTTTATATTTCTCTCACACACGCCGTCATGCAAGAGCCCTTTGGGTTTGAAGCGTAAATATTGCACAGGCCCATTTTTTTGTTCTACCTTGTGCTTACTTAGTTCCACTAGAAAGTGGAAGGTGGTGAGGATTGAACCCCCGTGGCCATGGAGGCTCTCATACCATGCAAATAACCATTGCAACCCAAAAACTTAAACTTGTAAATGAAGGTCCATCAATGGTTTTTATATTTCTCTAACACGTATGCTAGTTTAAAAAAAAAAGTTGTAAATTACACATAAACACACCAATAAAGAACATAAAGGTGAAAAAACAAAAGAGATCTTTCTAGTAGTGTGGATTTTTGACATATGCTATGATGTCAACATCATATTGCACCAAAAGCTCCTACTTTGTATACCACCTGACATCTAACTTGCCTTTTGTTTTGTAAAAGAAAAAGGGCGGCCTATGAGGTTCCCACCATTGTGGAGTTTAGGGAGGGTCAAATGTACACAGCCGTAACTCCGTGAGTGGAGAGGCTATTTCTGCAACTATAGCCCATGACCACCAGGTCACATGGAAGAGAGAAAGGTACAACAAGGAAGGATGAAAATTCCTCGAAAATCAGAGAAATTAAAAGAAAACAAAGAGCATCACCTATACATATGGGGGAAGCACGAGAAAGTGGAGCCCTCAGGACAATGGAAAGAAAAGGCCAGAATAAGATAACATTTCTTCTCACTTTTATTCCCAATAACATTTCTACTGTTTTTATACAAAAAAATAAAATAAAATTATTAAACAAAGCGGAATGGAGAAATCAACTCATCAAATTTATAAGCAAGCAAAACTTTGAATTCTGAAATTCAACTCCAATTATCTAAATTCTCCCCTAATTTCACTCCTATCCTATCAAATACAAGCTCCACTGATGCTATAAACCAATAATAAATCTACATGTCAAATGACCGTAAACTCAAATGGTTTCCTCATTGACTACTTGAATGTTGAAATATACTTTCTAGTCCTCCCCCACCCCATATGGTAAACAAGAAAATCAAAAGATGGCGCAGCACACAAACTAAACATGAACAAGTACAAAAAGTTCTATACATATTAATTTGCAATTCAAGTACATTGATGACTTTTCACTGACAAATTGAACTACAAAAAGAAGCCATATGCATCCTGAAGGGCTTTTTACCTAGAAAGACGCTCTGTCAAATCTCCATGTCTTTTAAGCAAACTTCCAACTGTCATGGAAATCATAGAATAACTTCTAAGTTATCTAGAAAATGGAAGCAACGCTAATGAGATAATAGACTTACATCTAGCCCGTGTGATCTCCAAACGATTATCATCATCTTGCATAAAATTCTGATAAAAAGAAAACCCAAATATGGTTTCAGCAAAGAAAAATCATTAATAAAATACATATAAAGGGAAAAATATGTGCTTAACATAAATTTTCAAATCTTTTTTTTTAAAATATTGGACGTGCTAAAATGCACTCTTAAGAACATGCAAACTTTAATGGCACAAACCCGCGATAACACACACACACAGACATATTCATATATATGAATTATAATCAATTTACCACTCTCAGAAACATCCATACTCCATTTATGGTTCACAATTGACTTTTTTTTTCAGTTAATCAGTTAAGGAATATCGCTAATGTAAAAGATAAACAGGTTCTCCCCTCCCCCCAGTTTTATGAAGGGTCAACCAAGTCCAATGCAAGCAATAGACACTTTTCATTCCAATCTATATAACACTTTATTTCCTTTTGCTTATGACTTCAAGGAACAGGAACTAAGAGGAAAAAAAACAGATATCTCTCTTCTTTTTAAAATAACAGCTATAACATAAATAAATGGCTTCACGATAATGCTATCTGATAGCATCGAGTTGTTTCCTTCGTTTAATTCTTCTGGAGAACTCCCACAGTTTCTTTTTCAAAGAGCAGAGGGACTCTCAATCAATCTGAGTTTAACTTGGCTTGCAATATCAGATTATCATTTATCCTCAAGTTCCACCATATTAGCCGTAACTCATAAAGCATATCTCAGAAAAAGTGATAAATGACTAGCTACCAAAAAAATCCATCCCACCAGAGGCCAGACTATTACTGCAGAGTAATGAAACTTTTAAGCCTAACATACAGCAATTTGACTCTAAAAAGGAAGATTGAAGCAGCAAGAATCATCGAAGTGCATCTATGTTCTTTTTTTACCCTTATGCATGCTCAACAATCCCATATTATAAACAAGGATAACCATCATAAGAATTTCAAGAAAGAAATAATAAAATATTCATTCACACTTTCATCCAAATCAGCACTTATGAAAGTAAGAACCATTACCACTTCCCCCGTAACTGCATAAGGCCGTCCAGCATATGGTTCATATTGCTGCATGATTCCACAATAAGTTCATACAGAGAGAGAGAGAGAGAGAGAGAGAGAGAGAGAAATAGTATTAAAACAGAAAATAATCAATAAAAACATGGACGTGGAGGTTTATGATTTATAAGATGGCAAAACAATGTCACAATTACAATTTACAAGTAACTATTAGATAATTATATAAATCAATGGCCTCATAGTTACTTTAGGTAATTATATATCCAATAAAAACAACTTTGGAGACGTAAGATAAATCAAATAAACATAAAGTTCCAGAACGTTCTACTATTAGGTAGAGTGATCATCCTTAGTAGAATTTGGACTAGTAGTGAAATTTACATCAATAAAATCTGCATTAAGCTTACTTGTTATAATGAAAATTTCAATTTGCCAGTGAGCACAGTAAAGGATAGGAACTTGCATTCATGACTTGAAATCAAGACAGAAAATAAAAAGAAAAGAAAAGAAAAGAAAGATTAGACGCATGGTATGTGTGAGAAGAGAGAAGGACCTTGCGAGAAGAGGAATCGCCGGAAAACGGGTATTTTCTGGGCCTCTTTCTCAGAGATTCTTCGACATCGCTCTCCATTTCGATCACCTGAACTGAAACCTGATGTGATTATGTCTTCCAATTCCACAAGGGCTAATTGCGACTAGCGTCAGTGTTGAGTGCGAATACCAACCCAAAAAAGCACCGGGCCTATCTAAAAAAGGCTGGGCCTTCTCACTTGTTCTCGGCCTGGTACGTATTGGGCCATGGCCCGTTTAAACAAAATTACTTGCAATCCTTTATAATGCAATTTAATAAATAATTTACTTAATTAATTATTATTTGACTAAATGAAGTTATGTTAATTTTTAAACTAATAATAATGGTGTTATTTATGATTTTAATTGGACTAATTGATTATTTTGTCTCTATTTTAAATTTATTTTATTATTTTATCCCTTTTATCAAACTATATATTAATTTACTCTCCATTCATCAAAGTTTGACCAAATCCTAATCCATAGTAAATCATTTCCATAACACGTTTATGAGAAACTTGCTTAAAATATAGTGCGGTCAATATTATTGAGATTTTATTATAGCATAGTATTCATAGCTAAAGCTCTAATTGGTTTTTCAATTTTAAAAATAAAAGTTTCAATTCTTATTAAGAGTTGTGATTTGTGAATAGCCACTGATATTCATCACCAATCTCATTCTATTTATATTAAATTTATAATTATTAATTATGGAAATAAAAAATTACAATCCTGATGATAGAAAACATATAAATCAAATCCTCATTAATCAGGAAATATGTAATATATAGTTATAAATAGAATCATTGTGATTATATTGAATAAGAGAATTGATTGAGATGTGTTATTTTGATAAACATAAATTTTTTGCAAAATATACCTGCCATCAATGCATATAAAATTCTTTTTATTTTACTAAAAAATGAGAGAACTTTTTTAAAATTACATTAATTTAAAAAAAAAATCATAAGAAATTACATAAAATAAATTATTTACATGTTTAATGCCTCTCTTACAAACTGGAGAAATATTAAACCCTTATATATATTTGAAGGTTTTGAAATCATTAAGGTTATTAAACAAATTATTTTAATAACTACATGATAAAGATTACAATAAAAAAATCAAAATCTTTCCCTATGCACTTTCTTAATGAAAAAGAATGCAGAACACAATGCTAACGTTGTAAATTTTGCATTGTTCTATCAAATACTCATGTGTAGCAAATAATATATAGCACACAATTACTTGTACTGTGCATAAACTATCAAATAACAAATAAGACAAAAAATTGTATTTTGATTCAAAACTACTTATCTTATATTATTTTTCAATATGTAACAAACGCAACTAGTAAATGGTTTTCAAAATTTTGGTAGAGCACTCGACTTAAATTCAAATAAAATATTTATTAATAGGACTTTATACAAAGTCCGCGAGATATCGTGATTAAGGGGAAAAAAACTTGACTATTTTTGGATGGAGGTTGTAGATTTCAAATAAGATGTAGTGGCAATATATTTATGTGATATAATGTTTGCTGATTCGTGTGTTCTTATTGATATTCACTCTTGTTATTATAAAAGTCATATAGACATCACTGGTGCTAGAAGAATTTAATAGAATCCCTTTATACTCGAATGGACTTAGTTTCACTCATAGAAAATGTGGGGAAATCATTATAAATAAATTTTTAAAATGCCATTAAATATTGTTTTTCTTTGTAATCCCAAAACAAAACCAGTTTAATCTCTATATAATAAGATTATCATTGACATCATATACATTTCAAATATAATATTTGTTTGGGATGATCTATATCCTGCCACGTTCTAAAAGGCACAAATTGTCCAGCAAAAATAGTCTTACTTAATATTCACAATTGTTGTAGATTAAGCATGCAAAAGAATTAATAAAAAAAAAAACTTATTAAAAGAATGAGTAAATTCAAGCGTGCACTAAATTTGTTATGATAAAAGCTCCCGCTAAATAGCACCAGATAAATCAACATAATTTTGGAAAGAAAGAAAAAAGTAATAAATATGTCATGAGACTTAAATTTTACTATAATGTGAATGGAATGTCTTGGTTAAAGAAAAATAAACCTTCACATCATCCATAATACGATCCAATCAAAAAAATTCTATTGAAGTGCTAAAGAATGTGTTTTACAATTTTGTGCTAAAGAATAGTGTGAACTTTCCAAGCTCTCAAAACTAAACAACAAGGGACTAACAAAAATAAATTTCTAAGTCAAGACAATAGTTATATATTTTCACGTTAAACGGTTCTTCAATTATTCAGCTATTCTGTCTTTTCCGTTTTTCAATATTCATTTTTGGAATGACCTTTATTAGAGGGTAAAAATGCGAGAAGCATATTACCTACTTTGATTTAAAAGAACCCACTGAATGATGGAGAGAGAGGAGAATGGTCCTTCATACACGATTCATAGTTGTATGCTTAAAAAGGGGCAAACACTAAGTAAGAGAAACAAGGATCCCCAAATCCATTTTATTTTATGTGTACTTTATTGTAATCCGGTCATTTTGCATTTAAATATGCATTTTAGTGCTAAGAACTAAGAAGGCAATGATAGAAAGAGATAACGCGAAATGCAAGAGTATATGAATTGCACGAAACATGGATAGCAGGGACACTTATGCTTAGTTTATCACAAGGAGAATTTGTCACGTTACCCATTTTGTTAGAAAACAAGTTTACACAATGATATGTATGACAATTACATAAGTTTTCCACGTAAGGATTAAAGCTTATATATGAGTAACGATATCAAGTGGCCTAATGATTAATCATTGCAATAGAAAGTTGACTTCAGAAGCCTACCTTTAATAACACTGTAACACATGTTATAAAGGGCATAAACTCCCTTCGATATATCTATATTTACTTTTACAAAAAATATTTTTAGCAAAGTCATGAATTTCTAAGTGTATACATATAATAAAAAAAAGGAGGTTATACCACCACCACCACCATATGGCGAGGGGTGGGAGAGGACCTCGGTTCGAATTCCACCAACACCATCTGCGGAGAGGCATAAGTACCGTAATCCTTGGACTCGCACCCGAACTTTGGATTAATCTCATAGGCGGCTCAAAGAGTCGAACCCGTGGGAATACCAGGGGGTTCTAATTCGCCTCAAAGAGGTAATTAGAATCAGTTTCAAAAAAGAAAGAAAGAAGGTTATACTTACTACCTCCTTTACTTATTATCTCTTACTCTTAAATCTCAATCATTGATTTCCGTCAATATAACGGTTGTAATTTATTGGGTCATACTTATTAATTTCCAATAAATTATAACCATTAAATTGGTGGAAATCAACATTTAAGATTTGATAGTAAAAGGTAATAAGAAAAAGAGATAGTAAAGGTGTGCATGACAATCATTCTATTCTCTAGCACTGTTTCTGAAAAGAAACAATTATTTCTATTTTTTTGCCTTGGAACAGTTTTTGAGAAAAAAATGTGTTTGATAACATGTTCTATTTTTATTCCGAGAATGAGAATTGTGTTTGATAACGTAACAAATAATATAATAAAAAATAATTCCTATTAAATATAAAAAAATTTGAATCATCACTTTCCTTTTCATATGGTGTGGTTGTGGTATTGGCGGCGGCAGCAGTGGTACGGTAGTAGTGGTGGCAATGACGTGGTGATGGTAGTCGTTGTAGCAATGGTAGTGGTGGTTGGTGACAGTGGTGGTGATGGTAGCAGTGGCATCGTAGTGGTGGCAGTGGCATGATGGTGACGGTGACGATGACGGTGGTAGTAGTGGTGGTGGTGGCGGTGGGGGGTGATGACGGCAGTGGTTGCGATGATAGCGGTGGTGGTTGATAGCGGTAGTGGTGACGGTGACCGTGATAGTGGTGGTGGTGGTGGTGGCAGCGGTGGTAGTTGCGGTGGTGGTGATGGGTGAAGGTGGTGGCGGTGGTGGTGGCAGCGGTGGTGGCAGCGACGACACTAGTGGTATGACGGCGGCGGCGACGACAATGGTGGCGGTGGTCGTGTCGGGATGATGGTGGTGGTGGTGATGATGATGGTAGAGGTGGATAGTGATTGAGAGAGATAAGTGTTTCTCATTTTGTGCCCGAAAACAAAAAAGCATAATTTTTCTGATTCTTTTTTTTGTTCCGCAGCATAAAAATTAAACCGGTTCATCCCGAGAACAAAAAAATAAACTGATTTTACCAAACGAGTTTTCTATCCATTTCTGTTCCCGAGAACAAAAATTAAAAAAAATTGATTTCAGAAAGATTGTCATGCGCATCCTAAGTATAACTTCTCCCTACAAACAATTTTTTTTCTACTCTCAAAGTATCGTAGTGTCGAGAATATCATAAAGTAGTTGTAACTGGAACAGTGACCAAAGTGCCACTGTTCCCAATTTTATTTCTCTAAATGCCACGCCAACAGTGTTATTTTTCAATCTGCCACGCGGGCAAGTTCGCTACAGTGCCCAGCGAACTTGGTTTGCTGACATGACACGTTTCTAGTGGACAACAAGTTCACTACTAGGAGTAGCAAATTACGTTGCAATAAATGCTGACACATTAAAGAAGTTCACTGCCATATGCAGCTAACTAGGTGCCACGTGGCACAATCTCGTTGTCTGATCATAATTAATTACCAATCACAATTAAAGAAAAACGAAGAAAATAGCTATTTAATTAATGTACCAATCAAAATTAATATATCAATCATCAATCACAATTAATATACCAATGAGAATAACTTTTGATTGTACCAATCACAATTAATATACCTATCATCAATCATTTCGGAGGGCCATAATTATGATTGGTACATTAATTGTGATTGCGTAATTGTATCAATCATCAATCACAATTAATATATCAATCACCAATCACAGTTAATGTACCAATTAAAATTAATTATGATTGGTACATTAATTGTGATTCGTGATTGATACATTAATTGTGATCAAAATTAATCGTGATCGGTGATTGATACATTAATTGTGATTGATGATTGATACATTAATTGTAATTGAGATAAAACATGTCAAATGAGGTGTTATTGAGTAGATCTCGAAAAGTTATATGAAATAAAAAAAATCTGATTTGGACATTCG